GACAATTAAACTGTTATCACCATTGTTGGTGTTGAAAAATTGAATGCAAAACTAAAACATAGATAAAAGCCACGCTAAAAATATACATATTTCCTATTAATTGAAAAGGATGTAATGAATGCTAATAAAAAAAAATTCATACAATTTTTCTAGGTTTAATATTGTACAACTTGGTTATTTTTTTACCATGTGGCTTTACCGCGGTTGTGAGGATCGAGTATTAAGTAATCGTGAGTAAAAGTTCTGCCTCTTTTTTAGTTTATAGTATAAAAAAACCATTGTTATAAAATCAATATATCCTCTGCTCCGCTTAGTTGTAGTACACTATTGATAAAGGTATAGCGAAAATAAGCAAAAAAACATATTAAACTTAGTGGTTGTAACTTTTCACTTAGAAGGTGCACATTATTTGATTTTTTTTTTTTGGAAATGGACCGACACGTTTTATAAATTTATTTTCCATAAAAAAACACGGACTACATAAATGATTGGATCCAATGTTGTTTAGTCAACAGGCAGACTTTTAAAAGCTCAATAACACACACACACTCTTACTATCCACTGTAATATATTTTATACAATAATAATTGTTTCCGTTAATTAACCAGATGGGTTTTGGCGTAATCCTTCGGTAAACAAACACACTGGCACGAGCATTATTACATTACACAGACGGTCGGTGTGTTTACGAACCTTCGGTAATCCCGCAGTGCGTACCCCGTTTAATGTTTTAGCGGCCCAGCACCTTGTCAATCCTCCATGTCGATCCCGGTGTTATTAAAATCCAGTCTTCTCTTTCACAAGTATAACATATAATATTATATAACCGTGCACTGGCTGTTGGTATATGTTGCACAAGTTCATTGGTCGTTATTGTGTGTTTTATTAATTACCGTTCGGCAATCGCTAAAATCGTACACAATTTTTTTACAGCTGTAATTAACGTGTTGGCGTGACGGTCGAGCAACTAATTAACTGCCAAGGGACACGCGAATGAAAAAGAAAAAAAATGTTACCACATCCGATGTTGCTGTTATTCGCTTAACGAGTATAGGCCGCCGTCTCGTTAAAATTACCGCGTTATTAAAACCGTATTATTTCTGATCGTATCGTGGAAAATATAATATCATAATCTTGTCGATCTACGGTGAGCACGACCACGGTTTAATATTCTGGTTATTAAAACGTGATTAGCAGCCAACAGACGGCAACGGAAATCGAACGGAATAATAATAATAATATTCTAAGTATTATTATCCGACCGTGTGTAAATGTCGTGTAATTTGAGCTCGTTAAGTTAACGGGGGTTTTTTGTTGTATGCTCTGCTCGAAGAGTAATATAACGTAATGTACATTTTCCTTGAACCAAAGCTAGAATACTAGAAGTTTACCTTGTTATAGCAGCCAACGTTACCCGGTTAGGTCGGAAAGGGGGTCCCCTGACCTTTGTATTCCTCGTTACGACGTATTTTTATAATAGTAAGCTTATACACACAGTACTCGTGCCCGCCACAGGATATTGTACTTAGAAAAAAACTGTTTAGTAGTTTCATACATTTCCAATAAATTTGGCGACAGAATTTCTCTGTAAAAACGTTGGCTGTCAATAAATTCCCATATTAACCAACAAATTTGAGTTATTGTATTTCTGAAAACAGTGGTGACAAACCCACGAGACCTAAAGCACACTAATAACCGAATCAACCTGGTCATATTAACTAAATTCGTTCAAATTTCTTGTATCCAGCCATGTGTTATATGACATATACATATGCATGTTAGTATTTATCAGAAGATATTAATATGCGTATAGAGTAAAAATAAGACCTAAAGCAATCGTTATCCTGTATTTGTTTTTTTTTATTAATTATATATATTTTGAGGAAACTTCAATTCCGGGAAATAAACGTTACACTGTCGAGAACAACTTAAATTTAGATTTTTTGAATTCAGACTGAATGAACATAATAATATAGATGGAAACGACCAAAGTAAAACACGTGGCCCCGACCATTTTTTTTTTACACGGTTTCTGTTCCTTTCACGCGGTTTCCATTTATTGATTTTGGCACTGATAACGCGAGTGGAAAAGCAACTGAATTGGAATCCGTAATGGATCTCTAAACGTTCAAAGTGTTACGGTAAAACACTATCACACACACACACACACGAGCGGTATACATGTATATATTTTTTTGGGGTGTTCGCATAATTCAAATAAAACGGGATTCACCGAAGAGTAGAAAAGGCGGTGGTAAGACAAAACGAAGGATAAACGCGAATGTGCGCCATACTCTATGTAGGTAGACCGCGGCGAGGAGACTCTACAAGGAGGGGGCACACACGAGCGGCGATGGATTTGGCTTTAGTGTCCTTTTATAAAGAAGTTCACTCGATTTAACTTCATCTCAAATTCCTATTTTCGTGTGTTTTTTATTTTTTTGATTTGGCTTGTTGCCGGTGACGAGTCTGGAAGTCTTTGAAAACAAAATTACACATTTCGCTGGTAGACGCTATTATACTTATGAGTCACGCAGTAACTAAGCTTTTTTTTGATAAAGTTCAGTTAGTTCAATAAAAAATTCCCTCATATCTTTAGACATTTGACCCTAAGGATTTCTTTGCTAAAAATAAATACCAAGACTCAAAATCAACGAATTTGCTGAATTTTATAGAACATTAAAAATAAAGAAATGTTTCGTTATCACTTTTAGTTAGTGGATAAAACTCAACTTATTCGACTGTAGCAGTTAGTCGGTACAGTTCTAAACATAGTAAAACATTAACCATATACACAGATACATATTGGTTTGCTTAGAACAATTTGTGGTTGAACGAATTAACAACTTGTTCGTGTGAAACTTATCGCACATATTGTGTTCATAGAATAATATTTATACACGCAATGAAGTTGGAGGAGTATCAAACAAAAACCGCGCAAGTAGCGGTCGTTCAATAGTCAGTCGAAGTGAAAACTTTGGGCTTTGTACTTAGAGGCGAAAAACCTGGTTATTTTTATTCCGAGTAGCGTCTCGGAATGCCGTTAATTAATCGTGTCTATATTAGCCGGGCATAGACGAATGATCAGAGAAACAAGTACTTCGCTGTGTATTTTGTAACAGTGTACACGCCAAACAAGCGTAACTACAGTATTTGCATTTTGTTGAGATCTAAATTACCTTTAAACTCTAAACACGATCTACGTCTAACGTAAGCTAAATATCACTCACGAGCCTTTATATTTTACTCCTTTTGTTTCATTGTGCACTTCTACTCGACAAGTTCTCTCAATGATATGTATATAAATATATACAGTGGAAGTTGGAACAGTAAAATGATGTAAAATATACACTAACAAAATTCTTCGGCGCAGAGGGGGCGAGGGAAGTTCAAATTACTTTAAACTTAAAAAAAAATGTTATTAACCAATTAGGCGCAATCTTCGAGTGAGGTTTATAGTTTATTTTGCTGAAATTCTGAGGGAGCTTTTAGAGTTTTTAAAAGGTTTGAACTTCCTTAGCCTCCTCCCTCTAGCTGCTCAAGGGATGTAATTGGAAGAGGAGCGCGATTATAGCGGATTACAACTAAGAGTGACGACTGCGTCGGAATTGATAATAAAAAGATAATCCATTTAGTTGTAATTACACAATTGTAATTTGTCTCATAATAGGAGACGACACGTGCATTAGTAGATTAGTTTAATAATCGGTTAGTTTTTTGCAAATGCAATTATTTATATACCGTTAATGCAATATCAAATCAACATAAAGACTTAAAGGTAACCTTTGTGCATGTATCCTATCTTTTCCGCAACGCTATTGTTTTAGAAAAATGTTCATTATACACATTTTATTTTTGTTATCATAAAAAGAATGTTACCCATTACGAGAAATACCATTTATTGTTTTATGTTAAAATTCGTTTATAGTATTGTTTATTAACTGTACTTAAAAATGTGTTCGGATAAGTTATACCATTGTCGTTTATATTACTTTGCTTACAGATGTTCTTAACGTTTTCGACTAACTTAGAAATGATAAATTCCGAGAACCTGACTATGAAATTGCTCTTTTCGAATTCAACGAAATAACATTTACAAAACGCGGTTTTATGAAACCAGAATTCTATAAAAAAAAAAAGTTTCCAATGTCTTATACATTGCTACAGAGTTAAAGTTAATGGCATAGTTTTTATTGTTTCGTTTCAACTGCGCACAGCCTATACTTTTTATTATATTATTATACCTTAAAACCCGTAATTTGATCATACATTACAAAGCACGAAACACAATAAAAACTTACTTATATATCATTAAATGCGTCGCTGTTTCGTATGTAAAACAGTAGCCTTATAATTGAGGGTTGTAAAAGGTCTATAGTTTTGCAACAAATGCATAATTTACTTTCTAACTTTGTATTATTACGTTATATACGTTAGACTGTTTTTAACCATTATTTTTCGTTTTTCCTACGGCTTATTTATCAACCGATAGTGGTCTATTTAAATCAAAAAATCCCTAAAATTTCAGATCCCTAGCTCAACTCTAATACTTTCTCGTGGATTTGTTTTTTTTTTTACCATTTGACTTACATGCCAAATTTTAAATTTTCATTAAATCAATTCTAACTTGAAAACTAATCAACATTTTTTTGATTTGAAAAGATATTTTTAAAGCTAAATTATGACACTTAAAAACCAAACATCTTTTGAATATTTTGTGATAATATTTTTTTAGCAAGTTAACAAGTTATCAATATTATATAAAGAGATACATTTTTAGAGAGTGGTTTTGGAGAGCAATATATTTCAACTTTAAGTATCTTTTTGAAATTTAAAAATGTCAATGAGTTTTCAAAGTAGAATTTTATAATGAAACATTATAAATTTTCCCATACTAATCAAATGAAAAAAAAATTACCACAAAGTTCTTAGAGGTAAGAGATCTGAAATGTTTTATAAAATATATATATAAAAAAAACAATGTACTAATGAAAAATTACCTTTAGGCGGATTGATGTTAACACCGGACCGGTACAGGGACTCGTCGTTCTTCCAGTCATTGTTTCTGATCACGGTGCGAGCTCCATACACGGTAAGTACTATAGCCAATCCCATTCGAGGCCATTTTGGCCCAAGTCTTCGTTCAAGTACTAAGTATCCGTAGCCGAACAAGAAGCAGTAGCCCACACTGGGCATATACAACACTCGTTCGGCCAACACGAATCCCACGTAAAAGAACATGTTGGACACCGGCACAAACGGTATGACCGTCAGGGCTACACCAAGAGCCACCGTTCGCATTTGCTACAAAAAAAAAAAACCCAATGTAAATAATTAATGTGATATACTCAAACTTGTAGTAGGTACTAAAATATAACATCGAGTTACAGTCAAAACAAGTGTTCTCTTTCCATTGTAGATTGAACTGAAATACGTAATATGTTATGACTTACCGAGTCTTCTGAGCGAGGCATCGGCTGAGGTGACTTTGTCCTAGAGCAACACTTGTGTAATCGGGTTCTAAGTTTACCGGTCTTGTACACGGTGGCTGCCGATCGCTTAGCCGTAGTGAACAGGGCTGCATACAGCATCAATGACAGGGCATTCCTCGGGTCGTAGACGGATGTTACAGGCGCTACGGCATCCATTGACCAGTCGAAGCCCAACCGGCGCGGGTACACGAGCAATCTGACGTTTTCCACGGGTAGATACAGGAACGTCAAAGTCCTGGTGACCAGGCTAGGGCATTTTGCCGTCGGGTTGTCGGCCGTGGCGAACACAGGAGGTCCGCCTTCGCCGATCAAAGACATCCTGGCGAAAAGCAAACCAGCAGCGGCCCCAGACACGATTACCAACGTTCTGTACAATCCACCGGCGTTCTAAAAAACAGATAATAAATCGAAATTTGATTAAAAAAATCGTATGATATTCTGTCAATTTAAAAATGTAATATAATAAACTAGCGTATTATGTTATAATGGAAGTTGGGCCTCTGTATTAGAGAGCTCCTTATTTTTTACACAATGCTGTTAATTGGTTCAAAATGAGTAAGAAAAATACTCTAATTATTTAGTTTTTTATTTAAACCCCTTGGCTTCCTAAAAACAAAGTCTTTGCACTTAAAAAATATATATAAAATGAAGTTTTTTTCATATAATTTTAAATTTTACTATGGTATTACGTGATTCTCATTACAATAATTCTTTTGGAATAAAAAAAGTTAATTTTTTCTTTTAAATTAACTAAATGGGGGTTTTGTAAATAACATTAAAAATTTAAACGACTAAATCTTACTTAATATCGTTTCAAAAAAAAATAATTTATGAATAAAAAAAAGTTTGAAAAATCGTTTGGGACCATAACTGCGTTTGTATCTAACTTCTTGTGCAAACTGGTAAACAAAGAGATTGTGAAATTATGCAATGGAAAAACCATACATGATTTCACCGTTGGTTAGGTTAATTAAATAACTGCATACCTAATCCAAAAAAAAACATAGAATTAAATGAACCAGAATTAATTGCATTAGACATCAGCAATAATAAGAAAACAAAATATTTTAAGGCGAGTTATCAGTACCTCGTGTAAAGTGCAAAATATTCTCTTTAGTGTTTTTATCAATTTACCGTCGTTTGTGATACTTTTGTAAAATTTAAGAGTTTCGCTAGTAGACCATATTCAAAATAAACCGGCTGAATTTCTCATTATTGTAAACATTTGATAAAATATATTAAATCTACAGGCGAAATTCTTATTTTACCGCCGTATTGTCGGGTACAGTTCTACGTTTAACTTAGCGAATTGGACCTAAAACGTTTTCCGTGTTATGATTTTATATTTTCAGATAATCCGCTTGTTTTTTACCGATCGCTGCCATTCCACATAGTACGTTACACACAAATCAGTATCGTTGAATATTAAAGAGCTATCTTGGGCACCCACGCTCCTCTCTAATGCTCTATGTAATATACTCTTCGAACGGAATAGAAAAGACTGCGAGACATGCTATAAAACCACTATTTGCGAGGAATCATAAAATACGAACAGATCACTGGAAAAAAGTATATTATATATATATTATCGAAACCGTCGCTTTTATCTAACGTTTTCCAAAAAGGTTTCACTTGGAGATAATGGATAAAACTTAGCTACACGTTTTTTTTACCTAAAGACATTTGCTCGAAAAATCCCTATGTTGTTTAACATAGTGAAGAAGCTACAAAAAAGGTACTCGTTGTGTTATAATTTTTGTATGATTATATTAACAAAATAATTATAAAACCTTTTTCGGTGTCATAACATATTATTTTTTTATTAATAAAGGCTATAAAAAGCATATTATGTTGTACTATGTTACAATAATTGTAACAATTATTTGTTACATTTTACTATGTTATATTATGTTGCGCCCACTCATAGCTGGTTAAGTGGACCGTAAATTATTTTTCCAATAGTCATTGACAATCTTTTTATAGCTGTTCATTTAAGACTTGATGAACACGATTATAACTTTATTTATTTTTCAATAACCTAATGTATATTATATGAACTAAAAACAGATCTTCACGAATAATGTGCATTATTATTCTGTTATTGATATTCATATCGAAAATTATAAAAGCCAAACAGTATTTTGATACTTTACTTCTTTAAACTAATTAATAGTATTTTACAGGTATTCAGAATGAAAAGATGACGCTCATTACAAAGTTTACCATCTGTTGTAGTTTTTGTTTCTCATTGAGTAAAAACGATTCGAGATAATTTTCACTTTTGTGAGTATAATATAATATTATCAGTCAACATTTAAACAATTGAATTTTATTACTAAAAGTCAAACCGAAAAAGTTTTGTTATTACGACATTGTTGGATCTTATAAAATTAATTGATGCACTAATTTCACGAGACTTTTAATTTTTACAATATTTATATGTTTAATTTACAAAAACATGTTTATCAAAGCGCGTTAACTAAAGCGAAACTGAATGTGACAATTTATTATTATAAAAAAATTGTTTTTTCATGGATAAAATGTCCCATTTATCACTATTGGCGGGGACTAACGCGTTTTGTAATATCTTTGTAGGTAATAGTCCGATTTTACTGTTTGATGCACGAAAATGTAAACCATTTTTTCCATAAAAAACGTTTCCATGAAAAAAACGATTTTTGATAAAAAGCGAAGATAGCCGGTTCTAGTACCGGGTCCTTCATTTACTAACGGTTTTTTTTTTATGACTATGATACGGTATGGTTTTCTCGACGAGGTGAATATGTGCTTTAACTCGGCGCGACGTGTTTCAGACATATTATATTATAATGAACGTACGCGTTATTATTATAGTGCACACGAGACCCGGACCGAAATAATACCGTGTAATTATAGGCGTGTAAAACGTAAAAGGTTTACTTATTGCTATTCTGTGACCGCAGGTATAAAGGTACGGTGTAGCTTTAGGTACGGTTTTTGATGACGGCGGAGGAGGCGTTCGGTCTCATATTTTCCAAAAGGGGCCGGCATGCCGCGGTCGGTCGTCGGTAGGTACATAATTGTTGTTGTTGCTACTACTACTGCTGCTGTTGCTGTTGCTGCTTCTGCTTCTGCTGGTACCCTTTTCTGCGTGTACATGATTACACTGATTAATGTAACCTAAGTGGCATGCCCAACGTCGTAAATTATTTCTCAAACCCGAATCGCGTGTTCGATAACCGCACGTGTCATGCTATTCGGCCATATCCGACCGACGGCGGCGGCACACTTAACCCTCGCCCGATTATCTATCATCAAGCCCGTTCGCTAATATAATAATATACATACACTAACTAACCTATCCAGAGTAAAACAAATACGTACATACTAATACTATTATATTTTGTACGATCGTTTGCATTTCGGGCAACGTCGCGGCCGAGTGGGTTAAGACGTTTTGTCGCTTGCCGTTCGAGTACGGGCTAACGCTTTCAGGTGCCAAAATATTTTCAGAAATTAAATGGCATTTTGTACTACGGTCGTTGTTAATGAAAATGTGTCGAAGTCGCGTTGATGCCGTTTAGGGTGAACAATAGCTGTTGTTTTGTTATTCAGTAGGGGTGCCAACTTTTTCACTAATGGGACAAGACATTTATTCACACTCATCCTCCCCCCTCTTCCCTCCCAAAAAAAAAGACAAAATACCATTTGATACCTCAAGGGAACCTATCAGTCGCTACTGATTTTAAACATTACATGTACGAGGTATGTATGTATTATATTTACATTGAACGAGCTGCATATATATCACAGGTACAAGTATGTTTACTATTAATGGGATATTTTTCAAAGTGGTCACTAAATAATTTAGAATTTAATAGATAGTATGCTTTTGTTTAATTTATTTAACGATCCGACCCGACGATTTTTCAGAGAGACACAAATGAGATGACGTTTTTAAAACTAATATTAATATTAAATCTAATAACCGCTGTCGATAGCGTTGGGTTATCGGCCAAAGCAAATAGTTATAATGTCGTTTAGAAAGTACAACTCACATTTTTTTGTGCAATTTTCAGACATTTTTCTCACTTTAATATTTTTAAAAGGATCTCGGCCGTTGTTGGTTTGCGCAATATTTTTTGATAGCCCGTCCAAAATCGAGCCGTCTATTGTTATTGCTGCTATTTATTTTTGATAATATTTCACAAAAACGATGTCAGAAAATACATAAAGCGAATTACTCGAATAACAACAAGTCGAGTGCCGACCCTGCGAACTGTGTTTTTAGGGGTCACTAACAATTTGGCGTTTGAAAATTTGCTCCAGATGTTTATGGCAATATTTTTACGAGTATGTGCTTGGCGGGCCGTGAAAAAAAAACTACATAGGAACTTAACCCATAAAAGCGAACGGCGATAAAAGTAAATCAGTCACGTGACAGTGTTGTTCTTTTTCCATCTCCATCTTCGTTTCACTGGCGGAGTTTTCAGGTTATCGTCTGTCGGTTGGTTTTCCACGTGTATTATTATATCCGTCAAGATCAATTATTATTGTATAAGTCTTGTCGGATCTCACTATACCTCATTGCCTCATTGACCAAAACAAATTTTTTGACGTTACAAGTATTCGACATATAATACTAGACTTCTATAGTCCACGATCACCGTTGAAAAAAAACCCACCAAAACTGAATAAACCATATTGCTTTTTTATTTATCACATCGTTCATCACTTTTTAGTCACAGAATAATAAAGAATTTATTTTTATTAATAATAAAAACAAATCTCAGTTGAACAATTTTATATATTTGTTTTGGGGAAATCAATTTATTGCATTCAATGACATACTATATTGTTTGTGAGAAACGTGATCATAAACATCATACTGAGATGTCCACAATTTTGGCTTATACAATGTTAAGTGTGATAACGTTTTAAATAACTATTGTATACTATGACTATGATTTATTTATGCTCGTGTGGGATGCAATTTTGGGCGACAGGTATTTTGGCGATTGCCCTAGCTAAGGTCACGGGAAATTAACAATTATTATTTTGGGTAGGTATACAGGAAGATTGTATTATCATTGCCGGTTTTCGGCCTCTCCGCATTACCATAATGACGTCGCCGGCCGTTTGGGTATCGATTTCGTCTCACATATACATAAAACCATTAACCGCTATTTGATTATGTAATCCCTCCGGAGAGGTTTCGAAATATTTATTTCAGGAAAATGACAACTGTCATAGGTATATTATAGTTATTCCATAATAGGCACTACATACGCTGGTTGTCGGCAGAGGACACCGAATAGATATTATTATGTTTAATGTCTAACCACCCCAGAAGCATTATAGTAAGTAATAAACGCCAATCTATGTCCTACGTTCCATTCAATCGTAAC